GCGGACCTGGGAAAAGTTTGTCAAATTTGAGATGTAAACTGGAGGTTTTGCACATGACTGCGGACCTTTTGCTTTCATCGTGGTTGGAAATGCACTCATCGGAGCCGAGTCGTTCTCACCCCCAAAATATAACAAAACAGCGTAGCTCCCCTCTGATCGAAAGCATGGCTGCGGTGCATCATAGTGACGATAGTGCTCCTGCCCGTGCCGTGGGTGCGATGCTAACGGCCTGTCCCCGCTGGGGTTTCCCTTGCAGTGCGCAGTGAGGATGCGGGGACCCGGCTGTACTTTGTGAACGCCACCCTCCAGCAGGTGACCTTCTCCAACTCGGTGGGGGTGTCGCTCCCCTGCCCGGCCGGGGGGTCTCCGGCCGCGGCCCTGCGCTGGTACCTGGCCACGGGCGACGACATCTACGATGTGCCGCACATCCGCCACGTGCACGCCAACGGCACGCTGCAGCTGTACCCCTTCCTGCCCTCCGCCTTCAACAGCTTCATCCACGACAACGACTACTTCTGCACCGCCGAGAACAGCGCGGGCAAGATCCGCAGCCCCAGCATCCACGTCAAAGCAGGTGGGAAGGCCGCCGCCGGTCGTGCCGCGGCGAGGCGCTCGCCCTTCACGCGCCACCCCGATCACCGGTGCACTAGCGCGCAATCTGTGTCCTCGTGCCATCCCTGACCTGAGCGATGTCATGGATCCCGTTTAGTGGATCACCATTGTCGTGGTTTCATCCCACAGTCCCTTTCGATTTCCTGTGGGCAACAGGGTGGCGCCGTGGTGGGCGTTGTCGCCTCGCAGTGCTGGGGCCTTGAGTTCAATTCCTGGGGGATGCTGTCCGTGTGGAGTTTGCATGTTCTCCCTGCGTCACCCACTAGTGTGTTCACCCTCCAGGAAAGGACGGATGGATATTTAAGCTCATTCATTGATACCTCCCACGTTTGAACACTTGATCTAGCTGGTCTCAACCAGTTTCTAGTGATTTGTTTTCAGTTCTAAACAAGAATACCTCTGCTTGAGACCACGCTTCCAACAATACTTGACACAGGAGCAGGGTGCGTAGGACTTCCTTGACGTTAACCAGAGACGTCCTCAGTATTCCTGCCCAACTGAAGTTATTCTAACCTCGCATGACAAGATTCGCATGTGATCTGGCTCACAATTCTTCCAGCAAATTCTCCTAAGGTATCTATTGAACTTGACCTATAACTGTGGGATTTTAAAATAGCTGATCGGAACTTATAAAGGTGAGTTCGTTTTATGTCGGCATAGACCCATATCTTCTCCTTCCTCATTGCTGTGTAAGTGCCAGTCTCAGTCTCGCATCTATACTCTTGTGCTGTTAACTCGGCCTTGTGTCATGTACTGTACTAGGGGACCAGTATCTTCCATGGTTATCTCTAGCTCAGATTCTCTTTAAGAGAACTTCTGAAAGTATCTGTATAGGACTGAATGAGGAAAACCAGATCCATGACTGAAAGCTCAAAACGTACCATGCTTATCAATAAACTGACTCTATGAGCTTAATTCTCTCGTTGCCCCATTAAACATCCATCTAGTTGATTAAGTCTAAAGTCAGGATCCTAAATCTTTCTCTCTTTCCCAAATTACAGATCCTTTTCCAGTGGTAATTTCATTAACAACCCAGGAATTATTCTCTTAATGCATTAAATTATGTCCTAAAGGGCACTGTTGTGAGAAACATATCCTTTCCTTCACTTGTTCGGTTTTGCAGAGAGGCATCACTCAGTCAGGTCATTATGGTCTACACTATTAGACTGAGCCATAATATTAGAGACAAAATAGTACTTCTGCAAATCTGGGCGAGCAAAACCTCCCTTTTCCTTTGTAGACTTCTGAATATTTTGCGTTTTCTTGCATCTGTGGGTCTTTTCCTTCCCCCGCGACCCTAGCTGAGAAGTCTGTCACAAGATTTAAACTTTACAGGAACAGGCTAGTTCCCGAAACAGGAACAATACTCTTGAAAGTATGTTTGATCAGGTAGCCCTTCCGGAGAGCGAGAGAGGTATCCTGTAAGGTCACGCTTTGATATTCTGGCTCATCATGGCACTTGGGTCTACCGAGTGTGTGAGTACTGTAGTACCTAAGTGATTTTTATCCTGATTTCGTTGTTAGTTTGCTTGTAATCTCCAGTGATTGGTCCTTTGATAACCATAATTTCTGATTTTCCTTTGTATAGTTTGGATTCTTGAAAATACTTCATTCCGTGATGATATCCTTAAGGGCAGGAATGCATTTCAATTTAGACTATATTTAATGACATTGTCTGCATACAGAGCCAGCTTGGGTGATTCTACAGCCAGAAGAACTCCTTCTGTGGTCCTCATTGTCTTATTTCTGCCTTGTGCTAATAAGATAAGATAAGATCACTTTATTAGCCCTGTACAATTTCTTGAGTTAGGAAATCGTCTTTTCGCATACCCACAGTATGCAGACACACAGACAGGGAGAGAAGCTTGTCTATACTCAAAGTGAAAATCAGTGAAAACAGTACATATACTTGTGTATATACAGTATATGGGAGGTCTCCCATCCAGGAACTGACCAGGCTCACACCTGCTTAGCTTCAGTGGGCTGCCAGCTGGGAGTTGCAGGGTGATATGGCTGCTGGAATGTTTGCCTTGTTTCTGAAAAAGGCCTGAATTGATCCAGGTAGGTACCCAATCTCCACTGGCTTAAGCCCAACCAAACCCCTTCGGAACCTCACTGGTATAGCCATCTGTTTTAACAGAAATTTTCTTTTTCATTTATTGGCAAGACATTTATTTTGATTCTGTTTAGATAAAATTTAGTTTTTTGAAAATATACACACTCTATACACTGTATTCATTATGCGCACTGTACAATTCCTAATACCATTTCTGAAGTACTCTATGTCTCCCTGTCAGAATTTGGTTGCTGGTCTGCCTATCCTATATTAGAATACGGGATTCTGTTATTTGCTTTTGGAGTCTGAAAGCTTAAAGATTGGAGGCCTAAGAACACCTTCTTAATAACATTTGTTTGGCAAGTACCACTGCTCTGTCCACACTTTCTGTTATTATCTCTTATAACAGTCTCTTTTCTCCCAATCCTTCGGAGAGCCTGGCTCTCTTATAGCCCTTTGCTTTTCTATATAAAGCAGTAGAAACTAGTTTCCCTCTGTGAAGTGCTTTGGCTGTCTCATCGTATGTATTATTTAAATTACAGTAAATTCTCATTTAAGTCTTAATTTACAAACAGTCCTTGTCTTGTCTTGAGTCTTCGGTTACCATATGGTCTTCCCTCGATCTTATCCGCTATTGAATGTCATGAGCATGATCTAATTAACTCATCCTCCCTATTTCACCGTTTCTTCCTCTAAAGGAACATTTATTTTGTGTAAAGACAAGCTAAAGAGTCTTGAGTTGCTGACGGTCAGGGATTCATTCCACGGTGAAAAGCAGAGGAAAAAAGATGTTTCCTCCTTCTTCTGGTTATTCACTCGGTGGATATTCAGCAGATGGCAATAACTAACAAATACCATCATTCTGTTTGACATTTACCTTTAAATGCAAGATTTTAAATGCATACACACACACACACCCTGGACAGGACACCTGTCCATCACAGGACACACACATCCTGGACAGGACACC